AATTGAACTAAAGTAATACAAAATTTGCATGCTCCTTTAATTGCCCACTATAACATTAATTGCTTTAAAAGACAAAAAGAATAAAATATTTAATATTAAGTAAAATTAATCGCCACAATAAAATATTTTAAATCAAATATAGTTTACAATATTATTTTTATATTTTATTAGTTTTATTCTGATGTTTCTGGTGAATCCTCAACATTTATATCTATTCAATCTGTGCTCCTACACTCAATTGCTCGATATCATTCCAATAGAAATTATGCTGATTTTATAGATTATCTTCAAGAACAAGTAATTTTTAATAATTTTTACGAAATTACGGCAGGAAGTAGACATTTAGTGACAAAAATTTTAGACAAATTTCGATAGAATTAAAAATTCAAATTTGTTTAGCTCAATATTATTTAACTTTTAAAGCTATAATTATAACCCGAAAAAAACTTTAACTAACCAGGAATTACGTCATTTTTGCCGTTTATCTTTCGAAGCTATATGTATATATAGCTAATCAGTGTTGGGTATCGGCTTAGTATAAAAGCCTTCCTATTATTCAGTCGGAGTCTTAGTCTTATTGTCGCAGTGTTATTCTTATTCTATTCTGTCTCCACCTATTCGGCGTTTAGCCATATTCCTATTGTTCGCTCTTATTGTATTTAGTATTGTAGATAAAGCACAGTTTGTTAGTTACTGTCTTATCTTGTGTTTATTCTTGTTAGTACGTAGACATAGAAGTCACGTACATAACAGTGGTGCGGTCGCAGTTATTTAATTCGAACCTATTCTGAAGTATTGTTCAATGATGAAAAAATTATTCAATTATATTCGTGAATGGGGTAGCGCAACAGAAGTTCAAAAAGATTCGGAAATCAAAAATTATTCGGCAGAAATATTGTCAGTCTCTACAGAGCAAAAATTCGAATGGATTAAAAAGGAGGTTTTGTTAAATGGACAAAACGTTGAATTCATTCTTGATTCTGGGGCACAAATTAGTTGCATTAATGAGGAGACTTGGAAAAAAGTCGGTAGTCCATTCTTGACAAAGGTAAACTTCAATGGTAAAAGCTATACAGGTGACGAATTCAGAATTCTTGGAAGATTCTTTTGCTCTGTTATCCTAAACGGACTTGAGGAAATATTATTAGTATATGTAACGAAAGAAAAAATGAATTTATTCGGATTACCTTGGATAATCACATTTGAGAAAAAATTCGGTTATCCAATAGTAACAACTCTATCCGACAAGGATTCAGATAATTCAATAAATTCTATTCAAAAAGAGATAATTCCGACTATTAGTGAAAATAAAGAATTGTATATAATTCAAAAGGATATTCAAGAAGAAATTCAGGCAGAATTAAAAGTAAAATTCAGTCAAGTATTCGAAGAAGGTCTGGGACATTGTTGTAAAACGAAAGCTCATCTTCACTTAAAACCAGGAGCTAAACCAGTTTTCGTTAGAGCAAGACCAGTACCGATTGGAGTTAAAGATTCGGTCGAAGAAGAAATTAATCGACTATTAAAAATGGGTGCTATTAGACCTATTGAATTCGCTGACTGGGCGGCTCCTATTCTTGCAGTAAAAAAAGCAAATGGCAAAATTCGAGTTTGTATTGATTATTCGACGGGATTAAATGAAGCCTTAGAGCTTAATAAATATCCATTGCCAACTCCACAAGAAATCTGGTCTGAAATGCATGGAAATAAAATATTCTCCCAATTAGACTTGCGTGACGCATATTTACAAGTCGAATTGGATTCAGATTCAAAGAAATTGGCAAATATCAATACACATAAGGGGTTATTCGAAGTACAACGATTACCATTCGGAGTTAAGTCAGCACCAGCAATATTCCAGAAATTAATGGATGAATTAATTAGTGGATTAAAAGGAGTATTCGCTTATCTAGACGATTTGATTATTGCTTCGGAAAATGAAACCGAACATAAAAAAATTCTAATTCAATTATTCGAAAGAATCCAGAAATATGGATTAAAAATTCAATTGGAAAAATGTAATTTCTTTAAGCCTGAATTGAAATTCTTAGGTCATGTAGTCTCCGCAGAAGGAATTAAGCCAGACCCAAAGAAAAAGGCTATTATTCAGAAATTACCAAGACCTCAAAATATTAAAGAATTAAAGTCAGTTATGGGCACAATAAATTATTATTCAAAATTCGTAGATCAAATGCATCAATTCAGAGGTCCATTGGACAAATTACTTAGAAAGAATTCAATTTGGAAATGGGATGAGGAACAAGAAAAAGCATTCGAACAAATTAAGTCGATTCTGAGTTCAGATCTATTATTAACGCATTTTGATCCGCAATTCGAAATTATTGTTACAGCGGATGCTTCCAATTATGGAGTCGGAGCAGTAATCTCCCACAAATATTCGGACGGAAGCGAAAAGGCAATCGAATATGCCAGTAAATCATTAAGTGATTCGGAAAAAAATTATGGACAAATTGAAAAGGAAGCCTTAGCATTAGTATTCGCCGTTCAGAAATTCCATAAAATGTTATTCGGTCGGAAGTTCAAATTAAGAACTGACCATAAACCATTACTTGCAATATTCGGAAATAAAAAAGGAATTAAAATTCAAACGGCCTCAAGGTTACAAAGATGGGCATTGATTATGACAAATTATGATTTTCAGATAGAATTCGTCTCTACAGAAAAAATGGGCATGGCAGATAGCCTGTCAAGATTAATTAGCAAAAATTCAGAAAATGAAGATAAAATTATCGCTTTAATCTCAGATTCTAACACATTAGACAGTGGTCCACCCGATGAATTAAATGAAGTTGAGAATTCAGTTAATTACGTATTAAATATTCTATTCGAAGAGTTACCAATCGATAGTAACCAAGTAAAAATCGAGACGGACAATGATATTAAATTAAAAACAGTCATAGATTATATTCGAAATAATAATTGGCCAAAGAAAATTGAAGATTCGGAATTAAAATTTTGGTCAACAAGAAGACAAAACCTTCAGATAATTAATGGTTGTATTCTATTCGCAGATAAAGTCGTTATTCCTGCTAAATTGCAGAAAAAGATTCTTGATTCATTACATTCAACACATTCAGGAGTTGTTAGGATGAAAAATTTGGCCAGAGAATATATTTATTGGCCTGGTATTAGTATCGATATTGAGCAGATCGCTGCAAATTGTGATTCATGCCAAAAGGCATCAAAAAGGCCAATTAAAACAGAATTAAGTCCATGGCCAGCACCAAATAAAGCTTGGGAAAGAATTCATATTGATTTTGCTGGTCCATGTAAGGATGGAAAATTATATATGGTTATAGTCGATGCGTATTCTAAATGGCCTGAAATATTCGGAAATACGACTACGTCAGCAAAAGATTCAATAAAAAACCTGGAATGGTTATTCTCGCATTACGGAATTCCTAAAGTAATTGTATCCGATAACGGAAGTCCATTCCAGTCATTCGAATTCAAAAATTATTGTATTAGTAAAGGAATTCACCAAATATTCAGCCCACCATATCATCCTCAGTCTAATGGCCAAGCTGAGAGATTCGTAGATTATTTTAAGAGAATGATGAACAAAAATTGGGGGAAGAGTAATTGGCTACAAGAAGTATTATTGAATTATAGAGCCACCCCACATTATTCATTAGGCGGAAAATCGCCAGCAGAAGTATTCTTAAATAGGAAATTATGAATTCAATTATCATTAATCAAACCAGAAAAACCAGGAAATTCAATTAACATTCAAAGAGAAGATATTCGAAATAAAATGAAAAATTGGTTCGATAAACATCACGGAACCAAATTAAACGCATTCGAAGTGGGAGATAATATTCTATTCGGAAACTACAATAGAAATAAAAAAATTGAATGGCTGCCTGGAAAGATAATTAGTAAAAATGGTGTCGTATTCAAGATTCGCTCAGATAAATTAAGAGCTATTATTCACCGACACGCAAACCAATTAAGAAAAATAAAAAATTTTGAGAACCAACAAGTAGTAAATTTTTGGTGGAAAAATCCAGAACATATTCGGAATAAAAATATTCAAAATATTCCAATTCAAAATGAAAAGAGTACAATTCAAAGTAAAGATAATGAAATTCGATTCGAAAGACCTAAAAGAACAATTCGACCACCAAAAAGATTAGTAGTAGAGAATACTACTCAAAAAAGGTATAGAGAAGAACCAATTCAAATTTTTTCGAAGATGAGATGAGCCGAAGTCCGTTGATGAGAAGAATGAAGACGAAGAGATGAGCGGTATTAGCATTAATGCTTAGGGTTTGAGATAATATTTTTTTGTTGTGATAATATTTTATTTGTTTGTATTTTTTTGTATTGCCCCCTTTTGTAATTATTGTATTTGGCCCCTTTGTATGTATTTTTTGTTGTTTGGAGACATTATTCGGAGGTATTATTTTATTCAAGAGAAATTATTCTTATTAAAGGAGGGAGGTGTTGGGTATCGGCTTAGTATAAAAGCCTTCCTATTATTCAGTCGGAGTCTTAGTCTTATTGTCGCAGTGTTATTCTTATTCTATTCTGTCTCCACCTATTCGGCGTTTAGCCATATTCCTATTGTTCGCTCTTATTGTATTTAGTATTGTAGATAAAGCACAGTTTGTTAGTTACTGTCTTATCTTGTGTTTATTCTTGTTAGTACGTAGACATAGAAGTCACGTACATAACAATCAGACAAACTCCTTTATTTGTTCCTTAAAATCAAAACATCCTCGGTCCTCAGTTTTGTATTTTTTCGTGTTTAACTATCAAAAACTTTTTTAATTTAAAATTTCGAGAGCATTCAAAATTTAAATTTGGTTTTACTCAATATGATTAAACTTTCAAAGCCAGAATTATAAATCAAAAATAACATTTAATAACAGGACTGGTTGTGCTGAATGATTTTAGGAAGTTTTTTGGGAGCTAAAAAATTTTTGGAAGCTAAACAGGATTTAGCTAATCTGGCTAAATATGGCAAAATAAATGAGTATCAGTATCAGCCTCATAGAAACTAACAAAAAAATAAAAATAATATTTCACAGCTTGAATGTTGTGGGAGCACAACTTTCCACGATTGGCAATTTAGTGAACAATTTAAATGTAACGCTTCAAATCCATATCCTGAACGGTTTTAAAAAATAATTTAATTAAAAAGAATTGAATTTTCAAGTTGTGGAGTGCCATATTCTTGTTGTAGAAAATCTGTGGTTTCCAGAGCGGGTGCCGGTGAAGTTAACCCTCTCACACCTGCAATTCGCTCAATTCAGTGTTGGCAAAATGCTCAGAAGAAGCGAGAACAGGAATTAGATTCTGTTGGTTTTTACTAACTATCTAACCTAGGCTTGATTTTGGATTCTGTTCTTTGAAATTCCTGATCCTTTAGTCTTATGTAGTTAAACCCCGTTATGACGATTATTATGGAGTGAGTCGGTTCCTTTAAGGATTTTGGCACCACAATTTCTTGACCCTACTATATGTAGCTTTCAAAATGAGATTAATGGAGAAGAAACACTTGGACCCATATTCATTTTCGTATTGAAGCCATATGGCGAGAATAATCTTAAAATTAAGGAAAGTTGGGATCCATTGGGAGTTTACATTATTACTTTACAATATTAGTTACAATATTATTCATTTGTTCTTGATTTTTACAATTATATTAAAGGATATTTATGTCCTTGGATGTCTCCAACCATTACGGACATTATTTGATTCACATGCTTTACATATTGGAATGATTGTACTTTCTATTATATTCCCAGTGGTTCGTTTTGAATTAATTTAAAATGACTATTGTAAGGAGAATAGAATAGGAATCCTAATGTAAGGATTTTTTGTATACAATTTTCTGAAAGAATTAATAGCTAAATAATCTTTAGCTCGCAAAAATAATGGTCAAATAAATTGCTGATCAATCTGTTAAAATTTCTTTTTTTTCTCTTCTATAATAAAGTCTCAACAGCTTATTTATATTAAGCAAAAATTGTACTTGAATTTTTGTTTAATATAAATAATCTGTTAAAACTTTATAACTAAACATAAATAAATTTTAAACAATCGGTCATTCCGTAATGTTGTTCGATTTATTTTTGCAAGCTGAAAGTTATTTAGCTATTAATCATTTACCTTTAAAATTTGTTAAATTAAACCAACTTTCCATAATTAATTTAAGTGTGTAACTGTTTGTCTCTCTCAGTGCTTGGCACGGCAAATAAACTATCAACACTTTTTATTGAGGAGAGAGCAAAGGCGAATAGCTCGAAATGAGAGGAGAGAAAAGCGTTATTTGGAGCAGAAAGGAGAAATTAAAATTGTAAACTTAAATTTTGATAAGTAGGGGATAGATTTATATGGATTTCCAGCTTATTTCACAGGCCTCTTTGGGGATTCTAACGCCAAAAGGTACAACAACATATCTCCTATATTCATGCTTTTATTGATAGTCCATATTAGAGATCGAACTGGGAGAGTCGTATTAGAATCGAGATATCGAAAAATTCTCTATCTCAATAATCGCGATTTTTGATCGAGTATAGTCTAGGTCCGGTCTATAGTCCATATAAATCCTAACCCTATTGATAACATTACTAAGATTCTCCAAAACATGCAAATTTGATAATTTTGAGCTACTTTCCTTTTGAGTATCGTTTCCACAGCCGTTGATTTCCTCATTTATTTTCCTCATGTTGTTAATGAAAGCAACTGAAAATTAAAGTGAATCGAAAACTAACTTTGCATATACCGGACAGTAAGATTGTTGGGTCCGAATAACTGAAAATTTACTACTATCCGCCAACCTTACTGGACAAATTCGGAACTTTCTAACTTTTTAAGGGAGAACAACACAAAAGACAAACAACAGAAAATGCTCAAAAACAAGGAGAAAAAGCCGAAGTTATTGTTCCACTTAATAAATGTTCCCCTCCACGTTCACCACCCAAAGTCAAACCACCGCCTACGCCAAAGTATATATTTTAGAGGAAAATATAATATTGTGTAATTTTAAGAAATGATGAGGAAGCGGCCCAATTAGGTACTTCAATTAAAGCTGGCAAACTTGAGTGGAAGGTAAATACTATTATAAATTTCGTGGCTTACAAATTTCGTGGCTTACAAAAATATAATATTCATGATGGCAAAAATGAATCTAATAAATTTGAAATTCAATACTAAAATGTGATTGCCGTCATGAGATCCACTCTAAAATGTGATTGGCCCCTTATATCTGGTTTTTCGATTTTTGAGGTCCTATATATCAGGTCCATATATTGGTGTCATTCGAACAGATCAGCGAGCTCTTTCGATTGACATGATTCGCCCGGATATAAGGAATTTCCGAAAAGGCATATCCGCACACAAAACTCTTAGATAAACTGAAAATATATTAGCCAGCTTATTTGCTGACTTACAAAAATATTGAAGTTAATGGAGTTAACGCGAGATGAAAAATTTGCAATTCAAAATACTTACTTATATATACCATATAAATAAAAAATAAAATATTGTGCATATTTTTCTTTAAAACTTTTTTCTGCTACTATAAATTAATAAAAAATTTTTAGATTGGAAAAACTGAACAAAAGGCACAAAAAGAATCTTCTTCTAGAGCCTCCAGTTTCTCCCCTCTTCGGAATCTTTCAATTAAAAATAACAAAAAATGTGAAGGAAAGAGAAAGTCTTCAACCCTCGAATCTGTGCCAAACAATAAAATTAAAAAGCGGGTATTTGATGGCAAAAAAGAACAGCAACATCCAAGCCATAAAAATAATAATTTTGAAAAATTAAATAATAAAAATTGTATTAAAAATATTCAGCCAGAACCGTCTGCCCCTCCAATGTATTTTACTATGCAATTGCAACAACACCATTTTTATTAATTTTATTTTTGTAATTTTTTGTTTGAATAAACCAATTTTTTAATTATTTTATTTAGTCTATGTAGATATTTCAAAATCAGAAAACCCCCTTGTTTTGGTTTAAACCTTAAAAACCAAGGGTCTTGCACGTCTTGATATCGCTCGTCTCTACATACAAAAAACATCATTATTCTAGATTCTTTACCTCGATGCTTTTGAAAAGTCATTGCATTTGAGGTGAATCTGGTGAATCTTCAACATTTAAAACTTTTCAATCTGTGCTCCTAGCTCTGCACTCAATTGCTCGATATCATTCCAATAAAAATTATGCGGATTTTATAGAATATCTTCAAGAACAGGTTATTAATTTTTAGAAATTACATTTAGGGACGTTGCTTTTTATTAATAATAATGGTTGTGACAAATTTTTAGAGGCCGATACAGAATATCAAAACATCCTTGCGTTCAGTTTTGAGTTTTTTCGTGTTTAGCTATCAAAAACTTTTGAATTAATTTAAAATGTTGAAAACATTCGAAATTTAAACTTCGTTTTGCTCAATATGATTAAACTTTCAAGTGGATTTCCTTCCTTTAACCCAGATTCCTTCCTTTTAATTTTTTTTTATTTTGGAAGGCCAAGGACATGTCCTTGGCCTTTGGAAGGCCAAGGACATTTCTAAACGTTCACTATATATTAAGTGCGTTACGTTCAAACATTAGCCATTTTATTTCCTGGCTTACAAAAATATAAAATCTCAATCCTTAATAGTTGCTAAATAAAATTGAAATTAGAAATACTTATATAACATAAAAATAAAAAATGAAATATTATGCATATTTTTCTTTAAAACTTATTTTTCCACTAAATTGATAAAAAATTATAGATTGGAAAAACTGGAAGAAAGGCACAAAAAGAATCTTCTTCTAGAGCCTCCAGTTTCTCCCCTCTTCGGAATCTTTCAATTAAAAATAACAAAAAATGTGAAGGAAAGAGAAAGTCTTCAACCCTCGAATCTGTGCCAAACAATAAAATTAAAAAGCGGGTATTTGATGGCAAAAAAGAACAGCAACATCCAAGCCATAAAAATAATAATTTTGAAAAATTAAATAATAAAAATTGTATTAAAAATATTCAGCCAGAACCGTCTGCCCCTCCAATGTATTTTACTATGCAATTGCAACAACACCATTTTAATTAATTTTATTTTTGTAATTTTTTGTTTGAATAAACGAATTTTTTTATTATTTTATCTAGTCCAGATATTTCAAAACTCAAATTAAAAAACCCAAAGTTCTCGATATGTTGTGGCAGCCTTATTTTTTGGAAGCCTAAACAAACTTTAGGCTATTTTTCTTCTTCAATTTTGATCTTCTTTAACACTTTGAATTCCCATTTGCGTTTAATTTAAATATTCTTTAAATTTGATTTTTCTCTGGTTGCAGGTTAAGTTGCTGTGTATCAATTTTAGTTACAATTTATCAAAAAATTAATCTATTACAATTATTTCTCATTCCATGCCGCAGTAAATACCAAATTATAACATAAATAGCGGATCATAAATATTAATTAATTGAATTTTTGGTTTTATAATTACTTGAAATATTTTGGAGATCTTGTCTTGGCGCGTTAGTTGTTTTTATATTTTTTGGAAGCTTGAACATTGTTCAATGCTAATTATTAACAACGTTTTATAAAGTGATAACTCATACTCTTTACTTATATGAAACGATAGAACACTAATATAAACAATTATAAAATACCGTATTTGCTCTAATTGAATGACCCTCTAATTGATCGACCCTTCTAATTAAATAACCCATTTATGAGGCTATAAAAAATAAAATGACCCGCTTAATTTGAATGACCCCTTTTATTGAATGACAAATTTCTGGGTATTGAAAAATAGAATGACTGTCATTCAATTAGAAAAACACGGTATATCATATATTCTTTACTATAATCTTAATCTATGTGATTTTAATTTTATCAACTCAATGTTGTTGATAATTTAACAGGGAACTTGATACCGTTCTCCTTAAACTTTAATTACCCCATCTCATCATATCCCTTCCCTACTATTTATCTCTTCATTTATCTTTTATTGTTTTTCCCGTATCTTTCCCGCCCCTTTTAACAACCAATGGAATAAACATTTTGGGAAGATCAGTCTTAAAAGAATGGAGAAATAAAAGAAATAATTCTTTTGTTTTATGTTTTCTAATTATTTTTAATTTTAATTTATTTATTTAACACTATATAGGTATTTTGAATGCCTTAATAAAATATTCGCTGATCCAAGTTTCCTTGAGCTGATAAAGAATTCAGTAAATTCTGCGCCTCCCCCTCGTTCTCATCGAGTTTCCTTCCCCAGTTAACCGGCGCTCTGAAGGGATCGGATCTAATATTTTGAATTAAATACCGAATTCTCATAATAAAGTTTAAAAATTTTAATGCTCAATATTCTAAATTTACTTTTAAGATATTTAATAGTATCTAAAGTAAATGGTTTTTGGCTATCGTACCAGCTCTAGACCAGCTTTATTTTTTGGAAGCCTAAACAAATCCTTAGGCTATTTTTCTTTTTCAATTTTGATCTTTTTAAATTTTTTGAATTCCCATTTGTTTTTCATTTAAATATTCTTTAAATTAGATATTTATGAAAAGAGATTCAATTTCTTGTATATAGCAATATCCTCAATTTTATATCTCTCCTTGTTGTGTACTCGTTACAACAAAAGAAACTTTGACAAACAGTCAAAAATATTTATTAAGTCAAATAAATATAAATAAGGTGGAAGAATAAAAGCGCTGTATAAATTACGAGTGAACAGAGAACTGAACTAGCAAATGAACGAAAATGGGGTATTTGGGAACAGCTTAAATAGAGGGAAATGAGGAGTGGAAAATAGGCGGGAAATAAATATAACAGAATGCCAATGTATAAATTGTCATTTATATTTGAATGTCTATCTTCCCAACATCTCCCTTCTTGAGATAAAGCTTCCCTCCGGTGTTCTAATATCGCTTCTTGTCAGGATCAGGGTCAAGGCGATTGATCGGTCTTCGGTTTCGCTGTGGTCTTCCTTTAGGACTCAAATTTTTCGGGCTTTCGGGCCGTGGAGAAATTTGACGAATCGGTTCAGGTGTCCTAGCTGGTGTTCGACGATCAGGAGTCGTTCCTACATCTTTCGGAGTGTCCATTTCAATCGGGTGTCTTTTCCTCAATTGATTTACATGCCGATGGACGTCTCGTCCGATAGCAGGGACTTTCACTCTATAAGTAGGAGAGTTCTTCACTTGCTCAATTATGGTTCCGCTAAGCCATTCCGTTTTGTTCTGGCGGTAATTGAGAAGGTAGACTGGTTCTCCAGGTCTAAATTTACTTAATTTAGAGCCATGCTTGGTGTTGAATTGTTTCGACATTTTCTGTTGGTGCGCCTGCTGAAATTTCTTAAACTTTTCTTTATCAATATTGGATGAAATCTTCTGTCCTTCAGGGTGAACAAGATTTATCTTAGTGCGCATGTGGCGACCTAGAAACAATTCATCTGGTGAGTGACCATTAAGTGAAGCATGAGGTGTAGTTCGGTAAGCCAGTAATGTTTCTTCAATCCAGTTTTTCTTTTGTCCACACTTTTTCATTGACCTTTTGAAAGTGTCAACAAATCTTTCAACCTGTCCGTTGGACATTGGATGGTATGGAGGTGTAAAAGTGTGTTTGATTCCAAATTCTTTGCAGAATGATGCAAATTCGTTGGATCGAAATTGACGTCCATTGTCAGAAACAATTTCTTTGGGGATTCCGAGGCGATATACAATTGATTGCAGAACTTCAACTGTATCTTTAGCCGTGATTGGATGCATTTTACAAACTTCTGGCCATTTCGAGAATGCGTCAACGAATAGCAAGTAGGTGTATCCGTCTGAGCAGGGGCCGGCGAAGTCTACATGAACTCTTTCAAATACTTCGTTTGGAGCAAGCCAGGGTGTCAACAATGTTTTTGCTGGGGTTTTGGAAGCTCCTTGGCATTGTTCACATTGATGAACAAGCTTTTCAATTTCTTTTCCAATTCCGGGCCAATAGACATGTTCCTTAGCTATTGCCTTCATTCGCACTATTCCTGGGTGTGCAATGTGCAGAGTTTTGAGAATTCGGGATTGCAATGATTTTGGAATGATCATTCGTTGACCATAAATCAAACATCCTTCAATTGCAGAAATTGCATCTCTTTTTGGGTGAAATGCTGCAAGCTGCTGGTCTTCATTCTTGCGTGGCCAACCTTGGTCTAAGCATTTCTTAACCGCTGACAAGACTTGGTCCTTGCCGGTTTCTTCAGCAATTTCTGTTGCCATGACTGGGAGTGGTTCAAGAACAGAATTAAAAATAGAATTTATGTAACATTCAGTGTCGGTGCTGATGTTAGCAATTAAAATGTCTTCTGTTGGTCTTGGGTACTCGTCGATTAGTCGTGACAATACATCTGCATTTCCAAATGATTTTGTGTTGATATACTGGATATCAAAATCATAATTGGTGAGAATTAGTGCCCATCGTTGCAAACGACTTGCAGAATAAATTGGGATCCCGTTTTTAGATCCGAATATTGCAATGAGCGGTTTGTGGTCGGTTTAAAGTGTGAACTTTCGACCATAAAGCATGCGGTGGAATTTCTGAACGGCAAATACGAGGGCGAGAGCCTCCTTTTCTATTTGACTGTAATTCCGTTGAGCTGCTGTAAGAGTGCATGATGCATGTTCAATGACTTTTTCCGATTTGTCAGGAAAAACATGACTGATGGTTGCTCCAATTCCATCTTTTGAAGCATCTGCTGCTACGATTATTGGCAGTTTGGGATCGTAGTGGGTCAGCAATAAATCAGAAAGCATTATTTCCTTTGCTCTTTCAAATGCTTTTTGGTGGGTTTCGGTCCACTTCCATTCAATGTCCTTTTTAAGCAGCTCATCAAGAGGTGATCTGATTTCGCGCATTTTCTTGATAAACCTTCCATAGTAAGTCAGAGCTCCTAAAAATGAACGAAGTGTACTTTTGTCGTGTGGTGCTGGCATGTTTCGGATGGCCTCAGATCGACCTGGGTCCGGTTTGATGCCTTCTGGTGAAACGACATGACCGAGAAATAACAGCTTTTCTTGCAGAAAATCGCATTTTTCCAGTTGCAATTTTAATCCATAATCTTGAATTCTTTTCAGCAGTAATTTCAGAGCTCTTGTATGGTCTTTGAATGTTTTCGATGCGATGACAATATCATCCAGATAACCAAAAACTCCTGAAATTCCAGAAATCAGTTGATCGATTAAATGCTGGAAAATGAAGGTGCCGACTTAACTCCAAATTGAAGTCGTTGGCATTGAAATAAGCCTCTGTGTGTGTTAATAGCACATAATTTCTTGGATTCCTCATCAAGTTCCATCTGAAGATAAGCGTCGCGTAAGTCAAGACGCGAAAAGAATTTGGCTCCATTTAATGCCATGTAAATATCTTCAGGACGAGGTAATGGGTGCCTGTTCAATTCTAATGCATTGTTTAAGCCAGTAGAAAAATCAATCAAATGCGTGTTTTGCCATTTTTCTTCTTGACGGCTAGAACTGGAGCTGCCCAATGACTAAAGTTGATTGGTTTTATTGCTCCGATTTCCACTAATCTATCGAGTTCAGCATTAACTGCAGGTAAAGCACCATATGGAACTGGTCTTGCTTTACAAAATGTTGGTGTGGCTCCTTGCTTGAGATACAAGTGAGCTTTAAACTTCTTAACATGTCCAAGTTCTTTGCCAAAAACATCAGAGAAGTTTGTTTGCAGTGAATTGATTAGTGAATTCTTATCAGTGATTGGTAAATTTGCAGAAATTGATTGAAGGTGACAGGGCTTCATGATCTCTTTTGGGATTACCTCCAGATCTTTAATCCATGGAATACCCATTAGATCGTGTTTAACTGTTTGACTAACATAGGCAGTTAATTCAGTAGGTGTGCTATTGTTGTACGAAACCATACAATCGAATTTGCCTTCGGTTGCAAATGATTGTCCATTGCAGTTCATGGTTTCAATGTCGGCGGAAAACAATGTTGGTTTTCCAAGCTTATTCCATAATTGTGTCGTGATTAAGGTGGCTTGAGCGCCAGTGTCAACATTCATACGATGTGATGATCCATTAATGTTAACATTCACTTTCCACCATTCACCCTGGTTGTTGATGGTGAAGAAGCTTTTGACAGGTTTTTGCACAATACTGATTGAATTAGCAGCGTATGTGCTTCGACAAACCTTAGCTATGTGACCTTTCTTTTTGCACTTGTTGCAAGTCACATCTTTGAATCGGCAATCGTTGCGCCAATGATCGGTTCGGCCGCAAGATGCGCAAGCATGTGTAGGGTTTCCACGAGGTTTTGAAGTTTGTGTTAGCTTTGGTTCTGCCTTAGCAAAGTGCCGTACAAACTTTTGGTTTTGTTTGCCTCCTTTATCTTTCAAGTGCTGTGGCTTAGCACGGATGGCATTGGTGTCGGCTCGTGGATTGTTCAGTGACAAAGCGCTTTCTTTGACGAGCTGATAAGCTCTACATTCTTCCGCTAATTCCTTCAGGTTGATGGACTTTTTCTTGATTCTGGCATCTTCCAGAATTTGGAGACATTTCTGCCGAATGTCGTGAGCATCATCGCGCAAAGAGATGATGAAAATCAGGCACTTAAGATCTTCCTTAGTAAGTGCCATTTGAGTATTTTCGCATGCTGCATTAATCTGTCCAATCAATGAATCGATGTCTTGGTTTGGTTGCTGTTTGATCTTGAGACACTCAAAGCGTCTTACAAATAACGAACGTGTGTCAGCAAAAAGGAGTTTCAGATTCTTCACCGTATCATTGAACGTAATGATATCGGGTGTGTCGGGAGCTACGCTGTTGCTGTATTTGGCGTATTCTTCTTCTCCCAATTTTCCTACCAACAGCCTAACCTTTGAAGCATCTGGGAGGTCCTTCCCATCATCGTTTATTAAGGTACCAAACCTTTTAAACCAGCTTTCAAATGTCGATCCGTTTTCAGGATCATAATTGAAGGTCGTGATGCGTGCACTTAACGCAGAAGCTAATGTTGCATTATTGGCTGTAGAGGTGGTCTGGGCTTGTTGCTTAAGGACTGCTTCTAAAACTTGTTGTAATTGCTTGGCGTCCATATTTATCGATTGATTTTATAAACTCCGCCAAGGAGATTGTTTTCGCTTTCAAAGCTAACAATTTTTTTATCGATGAGTTGAGAAAAACTCCGTCTCGGAGAAATTGTCTAAACCGCCTAGGTTAACAATTTTTTTGAAGATGAAGAAAAACTCCGTCTCGGAGAAATTGTATGAGCCGCCTAGGCCAACAATTTTTTTTTGTCAGACTTGTTGAAAATTTACTACCGCCAAGGTAAGTAAATTCGATTTATTGGCCGAGTCGGGTTGAGCCAATAAAAATTTCCAAATTTGTCGAGTCGAATAGGTCAGAATAAATTTTAAATTTGACGAAGCAAAAGTTGTCGATTATTAAAGAAAGTCGACCAGAATAAATAAAAATGAAATTCCAAATAAATAGTCGAATGAAGTCGAATAAATAAAGTAGAATTTCAATAAAATACTTCGGTCAAATTAAGTAAGTCGACCGCGCCAATTTTGTTGTGTACTCGTTACAACAAAAGAAACTTTGACAAACAGTCAAAAATATTTATTAAGTCAAATAAATATAAATAAGGTGGAAGAATAAAAGCGCTGTATAAATTACGAGTGAACAGAGAACTGAACTAGCAAATGAACGAAAATGGGGTATTTGGGAACAGCTTAAATAGAGGGAAATGAGGAGTGGAAAATAGGCGGGAAATAAATATAACAGAATGCCAATGTATAAATTGTCATTTATATTTGAATGTCTATCTTCCCAACACTCCTGTTTGGGTTTTTTCAAGGTTTTCAACCTATTTTTGCATTTAAAGCCTAAAATGGGAACCAATTTCTCGATTTTAAATTTATGATTGTTTAACCAAAGAGAATAACTGACACTTGAATAAATTTAAGGAATAACTCGAAATATTTCAACATGAATAATATTTCTATTTAATTTCATTTTAAGTAAAACGATAATTAACAAGCTTGGATTAGTTGGTTATGTTGCTGAATTTTTTGGAAGTTAAATTGTCTAACTAAAAACGTAGGATGTTAATCAGTCGCGCAGCATGTATCTTTAAACCAATAAATTTTTTCTCCTTTTCTTATACCGATTCGATTATTTTTATTATGGATATTAATCAGGAAAATTGCGTACCATAAGTATCATGCTAGGTGAATCATCCTTACATTTAATAATTATTAAAAATCAGGGCATTTATTTTGGAATATATGACGATTAAAATAAAAAAAGGACAAAATATTTTTAATCAAAAATTTAGGGATCACTATTATTTCTTTTAAAAATAATTTTAGAATTTAAATTATTTATTCCTTCATTTTTCATTAAATTATTGTCAGCACCCACTTTAATTTTTGATACTAAATTTTAAATAAATAAATTAATTAAATAATGAAAACCAACCAATCTTTTGTCTGATAGGGGATTTAGGCTGAAAATAAATATGTTTAATTCATTTTAATTGAGCTAATAGTGCCATACTCGTACTTATTATTTCTATATTAATATTTTAGTAAACTTTTCATTAAAAAGTTTATCTGATTTTAGGGATGGTTCAAAAAATCCGCAAAAATTCCTGCAAACATATAAAGCAATATTAAAATAGAATACGGAATAAATAAAGTTCCAGTTAATTAAAAAATAGGGGTGAATGTAAGTTTACGTAACGCACTGTAAGTTCAAAAATAAAATATTTTACCTTAATTTGATTTACTCCATTTTTGGTATTTAAATCTTTAACATAACGCTTAAGTATTGGAATATATTTAAGAAATGCTCGGCGGTATTCGCAACTAAAAATTAGAAATTATTAAAGTTTGATAATATTAAATAATAAATTATGTCATGTTTTAATATATTATTCTGCCATGTTTATGTCTTCCCTTTTTCAACTTGTCGTTATTTTTGGATGTTTGAATATACAATTCAAGCAATATTTCGAAAATAACACCAAGAGTGGCCGGGTAACCCGAAACCCAAACTTTTATTCAATTTGCAATCCGACCCGACGAATTTATTTTTTCTCTATATCCCTATACATTGGAGAAGGCCAGTTGAGTGACCTTTTCAATCAAAAGCCCTCGATGAGCCCAATCTTTACCCAACTTGATAGATCAAGTCTTGTCACCGGTAAAAAATTATAAGTCGATAAGTGCAAGAAATAGTTGTTTTTTCGCACTTATCGACTTGTAACTATTTAAAGAGCGATCACTCGTTTAAAAAGCGATCACTCGCCACGCTCAACTGCCTCAACCCCTAAACATACCTAAATTTAAATAAAATAACGGCATTTGCACAACAAGCAATTAAAGCAAAATGATTAGCCAGTTGATAAACTATATAAGTTACAGCTGTGTCACTTGGATCCCAAAAATTTGGAATTCCAATAATTTTGGTAAATAAATAGTAATTTGTATAAAATGTAAAGCCAAACAAGGATACAAGCAAAATACTTAGTAATGATTTAAATAAACGTCTTGTTGACACTTAATTAAGTAAAAAATTAATTTATTTCCTTGTTAACAGCAATTAAAACGCGCTTAAAAATAAAAGAGAGCACTAGTCGATGCCCTGATAACTAGAGATCGGACCAAACAAATATTTGACGTTGGAAAATCAAATATTTGATCAAATTTTATTTGATTTTATTTGAGCAAATATTTGTTTGATGAGTTTTGAAGAAAATCAAATTTTTTCAAATACTTTCAAATATCAAATAGTTTGATCGAATATTTGATTGACGACATTTGGAAAAAATCAAATTTTTTCAAATATTTTCAAATATCAAATAATTTGATCAAATATTTGTTTGATGAGGTCAAAAAATGTCAAATATTTGATCAAATATCAAATAGTTTGAAAAATTATTTGATTTTCCTTTTCGAATGTAAATTTGGCATAATGATTAATATTTTTTATAATCAATATTTATAATGATTAATACTTTTAATAAATAAATAAATAAATGAATAATTAATGTTATCTTTATTTTATTTTCTTGGGAAATTTCTTATAAATTAAAAAATTGAACTATCGATTCTCTAATAATTATAAATGTCCATTATTAACAGCGTTGTATATTTTAGCATGCCTGCGATTATCTGGCAAATTGGTCTCTATAGAAAGTTGGAAGGAACTGAAGAAGTAGAGTGCAAATTATGCTTAGAAAATGGTGAAAAGAAGACAACTCTGAGTACAAAAAATTGCACAATCTCAAATCTTATAGCACATCTCAAATCAAAGCACAAGGAAACAGAATATTTTGAAAAGTATTCTTCATTAGAAAATTCAAAAAAACAAGGTCAGGCAGGCCCAATGGATAAACATTTATCAATCAATAGCAGCGGTTTAAAGTTTATTTAATATTTTTTTATTATTTTTTATAGGTGGACTTTCATCAATGGACAAGAAAATAATTAATTGGATTGCATCAACTCAACAATCATTTCTCGTTATTAATCATCCAACTACACACCACATTTTTAATTTTTCAAATACGCTTTCTAAACTTAACGATGAGTCGTACTACAGGAAAGTTGCTCTTCCAGCTGCGTATTTTCTAGTAAAAAATAAAATAATGAAAAAGTTTGAAGATTGCCCTAAGTTATCTTTTACGAGTGATATTTGGTCTAATGGAATTGATTCTTTTATTAGGTTAATTAAACTTTATTTAACTTATAAATTACGTAAATTTTTAGCTTAACTGGCCATGGAATTGGGAAAGGATTTCAACGTAAAAGTTTTGTTTTATCGGTTTCTCAATTTCCCGGCTCTCACACTGGCGAAAGAATTGCTGAAAAACTTCGCGAGATTTTAGATGATTGGAAAATTCCGAAGGAGAAATGCTTTACTTTCGTGCGAGATGGGGCGAGTAATTACAAAAAAGTATTTTTACTAGTAATATGATTCTACAAAAATATTAAGGCTTTTTCTGATGAAAATTTGAATCCGGAGCATTTTTCTGACGCAGATTGCGCCGCTCATCTTTTAAACCTGATAGTACGTGGAGCTCTTGATCGAAATAATAATATCAAGGGATTAATGTCAAAATGTAGAGAAATTGTTGGTTATTATAAAAAATCAATGGTTGCAAATGGTAAATTGAGGGAAATTCAGGATGAGTCGGAGTTGCCTAATCACACTTTGCTGCAGGTTTATTATTTGAATAACATTCTCATTGATTTATTCTAAGGATGTTATAACAAGATGGAATGGTTGTTATCGAATGTTGGAGCGTCTATTTGAACAGCAAACTGCTGTTGAAGAATATGCATTCAGAAAGAGAGATTCTTCTCTTTCACTGAATGACTCATGGCCTAAAATTCTAGAAATGGTTAAAATTCTCAAGCCCTTGGATGAATTAACACGATTATTTTGCCTTCCTACATCCTCTATTGGAGTAAAATATGCATTCGCTAAAATGACTGAGCAAAATCTAACAAAAATCGAAGTTGTTGATACGGATGTGTTGGAGTTTAGAAATATAATTAGAAAAGGATTTATGGAAAGATTCAATCCAATGAAAAATTACAGGTTTTATTTAGGTTTATTTAAACTTATTTAATTAAATATAGAACGCATATGCTTGCTCAATATCTCGATCCTCGTTTGAAAGATAAAATTTCCGATTCTCCAGAATATTTCAGGTTATTTTTTATCTGATTTGTTTAACAATTTAAAATATAGACTTGATGTGTTTTCGTATCTTGATGTTCCCGATAAAAATTCTCAATTTGATCCTGTGCAAATTATAGAGGAGCCTAAGCCTAAAAAGTCAAGAGGATTGCTGGACCATTTTAGTCAATCCCTCGAAGGTATATCTTCAAATGCAGCTGACAAAAACGGAGGTATATATAAACAGCTACCTTGTATCATTATAATTTAAGGTCTTATGCATGAAATTTCATGTTATTCTACTGTGAACTTACTCGACGTAGGTTCAGATCCTTTGGAATTTTGGAAGGAAAATTTTGAGAAATTTCCAATTTTATCGAAAGAAGCGATGATTTACTTATCACCGCCAGCTACTAGTGTCCCCAGCGAAGAAATATTTTCTACTGCTCGAGATACATATGATTATCGCCGTTCTCTTTTGCGCCCTCGTAAAGCAGAAATGCTCATCTTTCTTAATCGATCTCTCCCATTGATCCATTACAAATATTGATTTATAAATGTTATTTATATATTATGTTAATTATTCCTTCAATAATAAAATTATCGGTTATTTAAAAAAATTTTGAAAAAATTTGATATTTGATCAAATATTTGATATTTTTGATCAAATTTTTTTCAAATACTTTCAAATATCAAATAATTCGATCAAATATTTGATTGATGAGTTTTGGGCAAAATCAAATTTTTTCAAATACTTTCAAATATCAAATAGTTTGATTTGATATTTGATTTTGTGGTTTGTCCGATCTCTACTGATAACTCCGTGGTAAAGGTCAAGTATGTGGTGAGCGAAAGCGACTAGCAATAACTGTCAGGAGGTTGCAGGTTCAAATGCTGCCCGGTGGCTAAACTATTGCTGAAATCTTTCCAGATATGGGTATGAGTTCATAAAACTAAACACAAAAACTGAACAGAAAAGCCCCTAAGATTATCGGTTAGCCTTGTCTAGGCAGCTTTAGTTAACCGAAGAATGTGGTGATCCAGACAATCTTAATTGAGAGAATCTAGTCCGCAATGGCTTTAGACATGCGGACTTGAGTGATTTTTAGTTCTAAACCATGGAAATAGTTCCGAGCAAAAATTCTTCTGCAAGGTTACGGGCAGTATTTTTAATACTATAAGTTTACTCATACTACTCTCAATTTATCAAAAAAATAAATTTATTACAATTATTTCTCATTCCATGTCGCAGTAAATACCAAATTATAACGTAAATAGCTGCACTGAAAATTTCAAAAAATTGACTTATACTCATAAAATAAATAGAATTATGGTGAAGAGTTGAAGTTATTCCGTTACATTTTACTTTGAAACTGAAAAAATTAAAGTCTTTAGAATTAGGACGCGCTACAATGAAACTAGTTTTTTACATAATAATCATTATTCAAAAACTTAATAGTTAATTGTAACTTATTAACTTTCGAGTAAGCATTGTTTTATGTTTTTGGTAGATTGTATTTTTGGATGCCTAATAAATTTTGGGCAAGTAAATTGAAAAAAATTTCTAATTCTCTCAGACATTAGGCTAAATTTACTTCATGGGGGGGGGGGGCTTCTCAGAAGTCGCAACTAGTTCCTGGACTAAGATTTTGAATTACCAGATCCAGAATTCATCTCAGTCTAGAATTAAATAATCTTTAAAAATACGTTGTATTTCCAGCAACATCTTGAACTTCCTCCCAAGCCAAAGAAACATTAAATAACCCGTTTGTTAAAATACAAAGTGTTACAAGTGTAAAATAAATTTTTTTGTTTAGATGATTATATCTGAGATGATAATAATTTGATTATGGTATACTTTATAAATCAAAAGAATTTAAGTGTAGTGTTGTGGGCCCGATCCGGTAGATCGAGTCGGGCGTTAAATTTTGGCCCGAAAAGGTTTCGGTTGGGCCGGCCCAAAAAATGAACAGAACATCGGCCCGACTCGAAAACCCCAACCCTACTTAAGATTATAATGTATAGACTCATGCACCTATAACGTATTCCTAAATCTTCTTAAAGCCAAAATTTTAAATTCAAAAATTTTACGTGATAGGTAGAACAACAGAAATAAACCTGTCTATAGCAATAGCAGCCATTAAAACAAAAGAAGAAGCAAAAAGTAAAAGGAATGGGGAAGTGAAACAGAAGCATTGAAACATTGTCATTAATTGAGGTCCAATAATTAGGCTTCGAGCTACAAACAAACGATTAACACCAAAAGTGAGAATACAAAATTCGTAGGAAGCCTTTAATTTGTAAAGAAATTGTGTTAAATTTTTTTAAATTATATTCAAAAATTTGTAGATTTTGAATAACCCGGTCCAACCATCCCTTATATGGATTAAATATTAGAAGCAACATGGACAATATAACAACACAATATCTATTTTTGGGTTAAACAATAGCTTTATTCAAGTATGAAATAAGTCAGTAAAATTTTCGAGTTTTATTTTTGTAATTTTTTGGATGCCACGTAAATCAAGTTGGCAATTAAAGTAGATTTAGAAAGCATTGAGCTAATGTAATACCTTTCAGAGAGAACCAAAAACATTAATTAACTTGTTTAATTAAGGTTAATCTATGCAAAATTCAGCATAATGTTAAAATTTAGCCCATTTGCTATTATCTATATATTAATTAATCCCTTCATTTTTGAATAAAATTAGAAATAAAAGATTATTTTTTATTTTTTAGATTATAAAAATGATTTTTTGTCAAAGCAAGCTTTATCTCCAAAAATATAATCTATGAAATAAATGGAAATAATTGTAACAGTTAAATTTGATATGTACCAAGACCCGAACTTTTCCACCGAAACCCGAAAATTGATTTTTTCAACCGTGACATCCATGTTAAATAATAAAAAAAGTGGAAACACTTAATACTTTTATGAAAATTAATTTTAGTTAAAGCAATCTTTAACTTCCAAAAAATAAAAAACAGGCAACCGGTGGTACATTACATAATTCATTTTATTATCAACTTTATAAAAATAAAAAAATTTTAAATTATATTAATTAAATAATCAACTTTGTTTTCAAAAAATGTTGGAAATAAATAATTTAGAAAAAATTAAAAAAGCAAACCAAAAGAATATTGCAAGGCATATGAAGCCATTTAGATCGTATAGTTATATAAATCACACTTGAATTTAGGAAAATGCTGGTAATAGCCAGACATATTTTCGTTATTCCAAACACTTTATCCATTAAAATAAATTAAAAATCTACGGAAATAATAAAAATTTTGAGCCGTTTAGACGATGTGTCTAGCTCAATTCGACTTCGATTGGAAAGCTAATTTTAGGGAATGAAAATGCTTACAAGCACGTGGTCATATACCCGGTTTAACTTGATATCCGAAAACGTTCAGAGAATTCTCTAAAAGCCGAAACATAACCCCTTTTTTCCTACTACCAGAGTCCTACTACCAGTCTTAACAGCTCAAGTAATTTTTTGTAAAAATTTAGGTCTTCACAAAAGACAGATTTCTTGATTCTCGAATTTTGTTAATATTAAATAATAGATTTATTTATATTTAATTAGCTATGAGGTTCATTTGAATAAGTTGATTCTTCCTTGATGAATGCCCATTGTTATTTTTGGAAGCTTGAATTTATAATTCAGGCTAATATTAAAAATAAGCTTTAGCTTTACTTGGCCAAGTCACTCAATCAAATAAAGAAAGTAAAGAATTTGGGTTTTTTTATAAATCCAATGAAACTGAAATATATTCAGACTTCCAAAAATAAAAAACTTCCAAACAGCAATAAGATAAAGTTCACTCATCAAGATTGTAAATAAAAATAGCAAAATTAATTATTTAATATTATCAAAATAACTAAAATAAACAGTAAAATGTAAGCTAAAATTGAGGTCTGTAGGATTCATGGAAATGCACACGGTACCTATGGGCTGCATTGTGACACATACATTCACATGGGACGCGCGTCCTTAAAGAACCAAAATTTTACTGAAACACGGGAAAATTGTGTAAAAAAGGCTATAAATAATTTAAGATATCTTTGTTTTATAAATAAAATTTTGTAACTTTAATTTGTTGCGGTCCTCAAACTTGCTTAAAAGCTCAAGTATTTTTATGTAAATATGTATTTATGTCTTCACAAAAGACAGATTCTTGATTCTCGAATTTTGTATTTTATTAATATTAAATAATAGATTTATTTACATTTAATTAGCTATTAGAATATGTTCATTCAATGGCGTGGAGAGTTTTTTAGTTAACTCATTTGTTATTTTTGGAAGCTTGAATAATTGAATTCAGGCTAATATTAAAAATAAGCTTTTGCTATATGTGTCCAAGTCACTCAATCATATACAGAAAGTAATGAATTTGAAATTTTTTTATAAATGCAAAGAAAGTGAACGGTGAACGGCAAAGAAAGTGATCATTTTCGAATTCTAGTCTGAAATATAGTCAGACTTCCAAAAATAACCGATACCCTGCGAGAGATGAGATAAAGTTCTCTTAACAAGATTGTAAATAAAAATACCAAAATTAAATATTTAATATTATCAAACTAACTAGAATAAACAGTAAAATGAAAGCTAAAATTGAGAGCAAAAACCAAAAAGAAAAATTATTTTGTGTTCCAATAAAAAATTTAATTACAAACTTATTTCCAGTATTCTAATAAAAAATTCCAAAAATAAAACATAATTATTGCCTCTAAATTTATTAGAAAATTAAAGAAACAGCCGCCAATTTATTTTAATATTTAAGCTGAAAATAGCAGAATTCTGTGTTTAAATGCAGAAAATTGCTATTAAATATCTAAATATGTAAAATAATTATTTTGTGTCTAATAAAAATATGTATAATTTTTTGAGTGTAATATTTGGAAAATAAAAAAATATATAAATGTGGTTGTTTGTGTCTTGAGAGTCTTGGGAACCTGTTCGAGTTGAGCCAAAGTCGATGGCTTATCTTGAACGCATCATTGTTATGTCTGTTGTGTCCGGCAGAAAGAACATAAATGAAAATAAATAACCCTTCATACGGTTGGATAATGGACAGTCGGTTGTGCTTTCGGTTTGGGCTCATTCCTTGATAGTTCTATTCCATCTCCCATCCAATGAATTTTTCCACAGCATGATCATTATAATTATAGTTCGACCCCGGGCCGGGCCCGGGACCGGGTTTTCCGGGCCCGGTAGCACAGAGACCGGTTATTTCGATAAAATCCGGTTTTTCCGGCTTCCGGGCTTTCGAGGTTTTTAGCCCATAAGCCTGGCCCGGTCGCCTCTGAAAAACCCGAGCCCGGCCCGGGTCCACTTTCGAGTAAATTTTATAAAATTTTCTAAAGTTTTGGTCAATTCGGACTCCTTAAACACCCAAAAATTGAAAAATTTTCGCCTTCGGCGCTAATAAATTGAATCCATTATTCAAAGAACTTGTATTCCCTTGTCTTATCCTTCAAATTCATGGCTGGGCGTTAAGTTATTGAGGATTGGGCATCCTAATGAAGGGATATTTAGAGATTAGAAGAACTAAAAAGGATTTATCAGGATTAATTAAAATTCATGGTTTTTGAAGGGATTAAAATAGATTAGGGGTTTTAGTTGAGATATCGAGCATTGAGACATCGATGGATTGTGGATTAATAACTATATAGACATATCTATGGGAATATTGACAGATTTAAGGGAATGTTTTTTTTATTTCGTTTCGATTAGAGTTTTTTTGAAGAATAACAGTTCATCAAGCAGAATATAACAATAAACAACAACGCAAACTTGGATAATAGGGTTGTTATATTCTGAAGTGGAAAATTATATTAACTGTGATAAATGTCAAGCTTCCAAAAAATAACCATCAATTCCCGATTATTCTGCAAATATTATCAGAAATTTTCCAAAATTTATTTGAATAATATTCCAACAATTAATATTAAGTAGTTAGAGTAAGGAAGGGTAGCCTATCTGCTGTAAGTAAATGTACCATTAACGTTTATATAATTTACTCAGTTATTAATAAAAAATTTCAAGCTAACATATCTGTGAAATCAAAGGAAATACATCCCCCACCTAATTAAAATGATTAAACTTAAAATCTACGGAATACTTCCTCCCGATGCTTCTGTTTAGCATAATTAAAATTTCGCCGCATATAAGAAACAGATGGAGCATTAACCCTTACATCAGCACTAAGATTAGCTCTTACATCACGAACAATGTTGCGACTTGTAGTTGGATACTCACTTTTAGCCTCCTGACGAATTTTCTCATTAGCTTCTCTTATCTAAATTATATTTAGGTTAATAGCTGATTAGTTATACCATACATCAAATTTTCCTAAGGTAGGGGGATGATTGTGGCCTGACTTGATACGCCCTAGTTTATAACGTATTCCGTCTTGGTCATATTGCCAATTAATCTGAACCGATGCTCTTCCTATACAATATATTATGTAAATTAAAAATTTATCTGCTTATCCATAATACCTGGACAATACGGCATTTTTCTCGTACAACGCCAATATTCTAACCCTTCTTCAGTTCTCGATTCTGCCTCATAGCTATAGTCAAAACCTTGGTAAGCAAGTAGTGTATTTCCTTTATTTGATTTAGATTCGGAGAAGCGGATAAGATCCATTTTTAGGGAAATTGGGTATGAATTAAAATTATTAAAAGATCTTTATGGAATTATTTTTATGCACATAAATAAATAAACAATGTTTAATATATAATTATAAAATATAAAAATTTTAAGAAAGTTATCAAAAACTGATTAAATCTAATAGTATATTCTTTTAATTTCCATATGTTTAGTCACTCTTTCCATATGATTTTATAAACAATGTTGCCAGTTTTCTTTTTATTATTATGAATATGTAAAAAATATTTTCTTTTTATTAGTATGAATTTGTAAAAAATATTATTTGCTGCCCAAATCACGCATAATTAATTTTTCTACTGTTACTCTAATTGTTTTTTTGGTGAAAAATTATTTTTTAAAAACGTTTACTGCCCAAATCACTCACTGCCCAAATAACCCACTGCCCATATCACTCACTGCCCAATTCACCACTGCCGTTTTCACCAGACACGTTGTGATTAGATGAAGGATAGTATAATACAGTACGCTGGCACTGGCTTTTGCACAACAAAGCATACCTGTTTAATATGGTTATTATAGTTTGAAATAGAGAAATATATTAGCTGTGATCATTGTCAAGCTTCCAAAAATAATCCCAAATCGCCAGCTCGCGCTCCTTCCCAAATATAATCAGAAATTTTCCAAAATTTATTTAAAAATCAAATTAAAATAATTAGTATTAATTATGTACTTTTTGAGAATGTGATTAATTCAGGGCTTCGATTTCTGCGGATTTTTCCTCAT